CATACAGACCGGCCGCTCACTGGCTGAGTGAGGTGTGGGCGCAACACCGAGGGTTGCGATCCCGTTGCCGGTCCTGGTCCGGTATGGGCGCGACACTGAGGGTTGCGATCCGTTGCTGGTCACGAAAAAAGACAAAAAAAAAAAAAAAAAAAAAAAAGAAAGCTAATACAAAGTCAAAGAAAAAAATGGAAAACAAACTATCTTCCTTTGTTAGTGTTCAGTGTGTTCAGTAAGATAGTCAGTGGATACTACAGGTATTAAACATGAATAACTCCTATGTTATAGACGTAGATTCACAAAGAGTATGTCTACAACATTTTCCACAAGCTGTTCAATGTAAAAGGGCAATAATGATGATTTTTACTAGATATTAACTGAAAATTTCAAAGAGAATATTCAGCTTTAAAAAAATCTCAGTCATAAAGAGGGGTATTTGGGATAATTTATATGGGAGCCCTCTGAAAAATGTAAAAAGCAAAATACAAATTCAAGTGGAATACTGAACAATAAATCTTAGGGAAACAGCATTATAAGGTCAATGAAAAGAACATAAAAATATTCTATTACAGTAAAAAACATAGCTTTTATACAGGTAAGCCTATTCAAAATACACATCAAGTTGCAAACAGCCTCTGTTATATCTAATTAACATAAAATTACTAAATAGAAAGCATACTTACAGAGCAGTAAAGAAATTTATCCTGGTATGCTCATTTATAGTAAATTTAGCCCTCTTGAAATAAACAAAGGTCATAGCCAAAAGATACTATAAGGAAAAAGTTAAAAATGAATATTAATGTTGTGCTTTCATAAATAAAACTGCTTTAAAATAGTTAACTTAAATTTCTGATGAACAATAAAACAATCAAGCACTATTTATCCTTATTATAGAATTAGCTATTTGAGTACTTATTTTTTTAGTTTACTGTAATCCATATGAACAGTAACCAATAGTTACTTGATCATTTATCACAAGTAACTAGAATGGACTCCTAAATTTTATTATAGCCAATAAGCTTTGAAAACCCCATTTTTTTCCTAACTTAAATTTCTAACCTATAGGGAATTTAATAATAAAATAAATAACCATACATCCTTTCTGTAGATTTACCAATTGTTAATATTTTGCTACATTTGCTTGATATCTCTATTTGTGTATGTGTTATGTGTATACATAATATTTTTCTGAATCCTTTAAGTAAGTTGAAGTTCTCCATACTCACTTTTAAAAATAACCTTTAAGGGGCCGGCCCATGGCTCACTCGGGAGAGTGTGGTGCTGATAACACCAAGGCCACGGGTTCGGATCCCATAGGGATGGCCGGTTAGCTGAATGGGGGAGCATGGTGCTGACAACACCAGGTCAAGGGTTAAGATACCCTTACTGGTCATCTTCAAAATATTTAAAAAAAAAAAATAATAAAAATTACTTCTAAATGACTTCAGGCATTAGAGTAATATGGCTCAATTTTCAGGGGAAAAACATTTTAAATGTATTATTAGATACATATATGCCTCAGAGATGTCTAGCCTGATATTAGAACATATGCCAGGTTGTGAATGTTCAAATTAGAAAAAAGTTGTAATAATAATGTATGAGAATCTCTCTCATAAGATACTTATTCATCCTATCATCACAGGACTGGCCATAAACACGATTCCAAGTATTCACAGTAATCTCCAGTGAAGGACTCTTCAAATAGTGCTGTTACAGTACTTCTGGTTAGTTACTTTTCAAACACTTCCCCCTGCTGTCCAACAACTTCAATGTACTTACAACTGTAAAGTTTAAAACTTCACAATGCCACATAAATTGGACATTTGCTATTAGAGCATTACTGTTATTTTTTATTAAAGTGTTAGTAACTTTTTGATTATATTTTAAAATAACTTTTTTCTTTTAGAAATACATTATTATATATTTATGGATAACATGTTAGGCTGTCCAGGATCTGATCAAAATAATTCAGTCTTTGAAGAGAGGGATTTGGAGAAACAACAATAGCCAGGAGTTGATGATCACTGTAGCTAGACGAGGCACATGAAGGTTCTTTGCTCTATTCTACGTTAAGTTGAGTGTGTTTGCAATTTTCCAAAATGAAATTTCCAAAATAATAATGATTAAATAAAAACAACAAAAAACCTTCTCTTATTTTATCTTTGTCATCTTGAGATAAAAGCTCACATCGATACTAACGAGTATTTATTTATTTTTTCTATTTTCAAACATTTGATTGGCGGCTATTTAATTGGGAGCTAACCTCCTTTTCTGTTGGTTGCTACACTATTTAAGTGTGATATGCTGAATTTTCTAATATGAAAGCCTGGTCCAAAATGGCATTTACAAAGCTGAAATTGTATCTATTCAGCTAAATCTAAAGAGCACAGAAAACATCAGTTTCCTAGTATGTTAGACATTTTTTTATAAAACTCTGATTCCTAAATAAATAACATGTTAAGCCACTTTACCCTTTACCCTAAAGATTATTGGGATTTGTTTTGTCTGAATTACTTACAAAATATTAAAATGTACCACAAACTGCCTTAGTGTCCTGAATTGTCAGAATACTTTTTCTCCACAGCCTGATAAAATGTGATAATTCTGATGAAAATGTATTCATTCTACACAATTCTTGTTTTCAATCAAACAGATATGGACTACAGTCACTTAAATCTAATCAGTAATATTCTACAATTCCTCAAGTATAGATGAATCCATGCTGTTTGCTAATTCCAAAAATTAATGTGTAAGAATTCTGCTTTGAAGGAGCAATGCAGGCTCTTTTCCTAACCTTAATTAGATAGAAAATTCTTACAAGGTCTCATTTAAAATTCTGATGGACTAAACATAATGATGCTGCTTAATTATTATATCGCTACCAAATTTACCTTGTCTGCAATTTAACAGCAGCAGTCCATCCACAAGAAATCTTGAATTAAGTCGTCATCTATAGCAAAAATACCTATTACTTGTCTTTTAAAAATAGAACGTTTCCTTTTGAAGAATTAATTTCTATAACTGGAGATTGTAAATGTTTAGAAATCAAACAATAATGGCTGGAACAGTGTTGTTTAAGGTGTAGTTTTCAGTTCTTGAGTATATTGCAAGAACTGTACAAAAAGATACTGTCTTACCATCCATCTTCCCACCTGCTTTGCCTTAATATATAGCTCAAATTGCAAGGAGAATGGTAGAAGTGTATGGTTTATTCAATATCCAACAACACTTTTGAGAAATGTGTCTTGGGTAACTCTAGACTAGGTTTTCATTCTTTCCAAAAACCAGTCTTAAAAAGTGGAAATGGAATCCGATAAAAGATAACTCAGTCTTTAAGAAATAATGACTTAATGGATATTCTGTTTTCCAGATATGTTTCACTTTTGTACTACTTTCTTGGTTTAGTTTCCAGGGTATATTTAGTTTTGGATTATGCTCTTCTACTTATCTCTGTTCCACTTATCTGTCATTCAAATATATATACGAGTATCTACATGAAAAGGTTTATAACTCATTAGATTTTATAATTGACACTTAATTGTGGAAAAACTGAATATTAGGATAAAAAGATGAACAATCAAAAATACTGTTTTAGGGCTGGCTGGTTAGCTCAGTTGGTTTGAACATGTGGCTTATAACACCAAGGTCCAGGGTTCAATCCCTGTACTGGCCAGCCACCAAAATAAATAAATAAATAAACATAAATATATATATTTATAGATATATATATATATCTATAAATATATATATTTATGTTTATTTATTTATTTATTTTGGTGGCTGGCCAGTACAGGGATTGAACCCTGGACCTTGGTGTTATAAGCCACATGTTCAAACCAACTGAGCTAACCAGCCAGCCCTAAAACAGTATTTTTGATTGTTCATCTTTTTATCCTAATATTCAGTTTTTCCACAATTAAGTGTCAATTATAAAATCTAATGAGTTATAAACCTTTTCATGTAGATACTCGTATATATATTTGAAATCTTTTTTCCATTTCTCCCCCCCATTTTAAGTTAAGTAACAAAGCATAACTACTTTATATTCTTTTTTACACCCTAGAAATGTCATCAATGAGACAAATATATAGAAAATTCTAAGAACAGCTACTGATTTCCTGAGGATAATTAGTTTCTGCCTTGTTAATTCCATTTCTATGTCTTAACAATATATAGAAAATTCTAAGAACAGCTACTGATTTCCTGAGAATAATTAGTTTCTGCCTTGTTAATTCCTTTTCTATGTCTTAAATTACCTAATATGCTAGAGACAGGTATTTTCTCCTATTTCTCATGACCAGTTATGAGTACTAAAATAGTTTAAGGGTAATAATTTTGTTCTACTCTTAATAAAAAAGGAAACTTGTATTAACATTCTAGATCCTGATGGGACAGCATTTGTATGTCTTTTTCTACTTATATTCCTTACATTTTTTTCTGATCTGATCTTTTCATTTGCTTTTCTTTAAATATTAACCAGCTTGCTTGAACGCATTTGGCCTTCCTCTATAAACAAGGAAGCTGGTTACTTGTATCTAGCAGACTATAATATCCACTTGACTTCATTCATTCCTACAGATATTTACCAAAACCCATCTACCTTTATTTTAATCTCTCTATCTTACTACCCTACCTCAAAAAACATAACAGAAAAATCTATTTCTTGGGGCCGGCCCGGTGGCACACTGGATAGTGCGCCGCTTGGGAAGTGAGGCGGCGCTCCCGCCAGAGGGTTCGGATCCCACATACAGACCGGTTCCCGCTCACTGGCTGAGCGAGGCGCGGGAGCGACACCGAGGGTTGCGATCCCGTTGCCGGTCCCCGGTCCAGTACGGGGGCAACACTGAGGGTTGCCATCTGTTGCCGGACACGGAAAAAAGACAAAAAAAAAAAAAAGATCTCTTTCTTGACTAGTTGAAGTAGTATAAAGAAGTTTCTTTTCGCCTACTTGTTAAAAAATTTATCAGCAAAACAGCATTATCTCATGATATGAACAAGTTCAAACTCAATTTCATTATATGAACATGATGATAAAGCATATTTAAGTTTTAACAACGTTCCCAAGATGTAGTACTGAAACTTCTCTTGGTTGACCAACATTCCCGATTTGCTTCATTTTAGCAGTGAAAATCCTGGGAAACCCTGTCACACTGGGTTAATTAGCTCACCTGAATCTTTATGTAGTATTTTACTATAGGTCAAACAAAACCATGCTATGAACCTGAATGCCCAGAATTTACATTTGACACTTGGATTTACGTAGTCTCTTCAAGCTAGGTGAGTCTGAATTTTTAATCCATAAGCAAGCAAAACAAACAAAAAGCCTACATTAAAACAAACAAACAAACATACAAAAACAAAAACACTAAATAAAACAAAACCAATTTGATTGCAGATGGGAAATCTGACACAGAAAATAACAGCATCCTCTTTGTTCATTACGAAAATGATAAAATAGATGTTTACATTCTAATTTTTAAGGACTTTATAATTTCTGCTAGTAGAATATTTTAAACCTACCAAGTAATTTAAAGAAAGCAGTCATTTCCTGACGCTGTATAACAAAAGAAGATCCTTTGGGGTGTGTAGATTTGCTGTTTTTATGTGCATTTTTTTCAGATGCTTGCCAACTATCTTTAAAAACAGGACGCTTTAGATTAACGGGTTTTTTAGGCTGATGTGATCTATTTGATCCTGATTTTACATGAACAGTGACAGTAGGTTGTGTCTCACAACACATCTGACTGTGCCTCATTTAGGTTTCCCAAGATTTCTGTAAAAATAAAACACAAAATTATTTATCACACTCACTCCTTAACTGTATAAAAACAGCTAATTTGATGATGTACTACCAGATGGAGTCATATGAAATGTTACTGCTATTAAAATGTTATTTGTGGGCCGGCCCGGNCGACACTGAGGGTTGCGATCCGTTGCCGGCCACGAAAAAAGACAAAAAGGAAAAAAAAATGTTATTTGTGACAATGACTCATTTGAGAAATTGCTTTTAGAATTCAGTGCTGGGAAAAGCTATGCTTCCTTCAGATAACTGATACACTTCCTCTTCCCAAATAATAAGATTCTGTATACCATTTTGCTTTGGCTACTATGGAACTCAAAACCAAATGTGAAAGTAATTATAGAAACTATGCTGAATTTATAATCTATTTGTGGTGTTCTTTTTTCCTGCTTGCATAATTTTATGTTATATACCGCATCAAATTTTTTAAAGAACAAGACAAACTATATTCAGAACTTAATTATTAAATCAAGTATTATATTAAAATGTAACCCTCCACACAAAATAATATCTTCTTATTGGTAAAAAATCTTATTGGTAAATTCTTTGATCTATTACAAAATTCACTTATGCAATAAGCATTTTTTGGTATTGACTGAAAAGTTGAAAACAAGCCTAGCAAAGAAATGTATGGTATATGTGCTTTGAAAGATTTTCATAAATTGTTCTAATTTTAAAGTGTGAATGTATGACCCTGCTATTTGAGTATCTGATTATAAGTGTATGTGAATATACAGTGTTATAATCTAATAAAATCTGAAACAAAGTTAATATATCAATATATACAATATACATGATCATTACCTTGTTTGGTGGTAAGCAGTTCTCTTAATTATTACACTTAGTATTGCTTTTATGATCAAAGTATTTCTGGGGTAATGGGGAATGAAGGTATGAACAGCCCAATCAGGAAAACTACTCTAAGACCCTAATGAGAACCTCTGAATCCATAACTCACAGTGACCCAGGCAGACATGCCTCCCTTGGTGTTCAAGGATATTTGAGTATCTGATTATAAGTGTATGTGAATATACAGTGTTATAATCTAATAAAATCTGAAACAAAGTTAATACATCAATATTTACAATATACATAACCATTACTGGTTTGGTGGTAAGCAGTTCACTTAATTACTACACTTAGTATTACTTTTATGATCACAGTATTTATGGGGTAATGGGAAATGAAGGTATGAACAGCCCAATCAGGACAACTACTCTAAGACCGTAATGAGAACTTCTGAATCCATAACTCACAGTGACCCAGGCAGCCATGCCTCCCTTGGTGTTCAAGAGGTTACGTACAGATTCTTCTTCCTGACCCTCAGAAACTTCACTGCTAAAGGAAGGAAGGCAAAATAAGATTGGATGTAGTGAGGCAAGAGCAGCACTTTCCAATATAATGAGAGCCACATATGGAATTTTATATTTTTAAGCAACATTAAAAAAAAATAAAAACAGGTAAAATTAATTTTAACATATATTTTATGGAACACAGTATATCCAATATATCATTTTAACATGTAATCAATATAAAAATTAATGACATATTTTACATTCTAAGTTACTGAAATCTGGTTTGTATTTTACGTTTACAGCATATCTCAATTCTGATGCTAATTTTTCAACAAAGTAAAATGTAGTCCTATCAAAAAAATGACGTAGTGTGTAAGGGAAAAATATTTTACATTCCTCCAGTTTTTTATTTAAAGCAAAAATTAAATGATTCAGTTGTACCAGACACATTTCCAGTATCTAATAACTACACGTGGCTAGTCACTAGCATGTTAGAAAGTACAGGGCTACACTATGAAGAACTAGGCAGAGGGAATTTTATTCAGTCAGTCATACAGTTGCTTCTCTTCCCTGCTCTCCCTGCGATCTTTCTTCCTATATCCTAAGGTCCAGCCAAATTGATGGGAATTATGGAGTTGGGGGGGGGGGCTACAAACTCTATAGGAAGAGGAATAGGTGATAAATTGAGCCTGGAGACTTGTGCAAGAACTTTCTGCTTTCCTACCCACCTCATCTGGGAGACAGCTGGATGTCTCATCTGCATCTTTTTTTTTTTTCTTCAAAGTAAGAGCAGCCTTACATCTAGATGGAAAAAACTAAACACTCAGGCTTCTCAAGATGGGGTATAGGGGATAGGCTCAGGGATGAGACATACGAGAATACAGAATAAGTATGGCACATCTTCCAGGAGGTAAGTTTTACTCAAAGGTTAAGTAACTTAAAACAGTGTTTTTATGTTAAAACAATCAAGGATATACAGTACCACAAAATAGAATGCATATTTTCTATTAATCAGAAGGTAAAATATCATGTTCACAGTAGACATCTTTACACTATTCCACTAGACCTTTTGTATTTTTTGCAATACTTCATATAAAATTTGAGAAAATTGAAAGAGAAGAAATGTCTAAAATTCCCTACTTAGAGATTCATTGAAGTTAATAACCAAATACTGGCAGGAAAGTTGTTTATAAGGAGCTTAAGGGGAAATGATGTTAGTGCTACAGTCTTGGTCAAATTCCACCTTGAGGTAGCATTTAATTTTGCTCTTAGTTTAGATATATCAAGAGAACAAGAGTTCTGATGGCAAGCATGAGGAAAAGAATGAAAGGAAAATTAAAATATTGGCCATCTCAATAAGGGCAAGAGACTTGAATAGAATGTCGGGGATATATACATCATCACATTAATTTTGCAGGCATCTGAAATAATTTATTCTCTCTGGGAATAATATAAAGTGTGGTGGTTCACAGAATCATACAATAGGAAAAGTAGTAGTCTGGGGATTAATCTGTCTATATGAAAAACCTAATAGCAATGTCCTTAGGCAATTCAGTCAGAGCAGGCAGGTAAGCCTTAACTTAAAATTGCAGTTGCACACTGAGCACTTAATTTATGCCAGACGCTGTGCTAAATGTTATACATGTATTATCTCATTTACTTCTCAAAACACCTGTATAAGGTGGGTTATAAGTGGTGGTTCACAGAATCATACAATGGGAAAACCAGTAGTCTGGGGATTCATCTGTCTATATGAAAATCTAATAGCAGTGTCCTTAGGCAATTCAGTCGGAGCAGGCAGGTAAGCCCTAACTTAAAATTGCAGTTGCACACTGAGCACTTAATATATGCCAGACACTGTGCTAAATGTTATACATGTATTATCTCATTTACTTCTCAAAACACCTGTATACGGTGGGTTATAGAGTGTCTTACTTTGTAAGTCAGAAATTTGAGGTTTAGAGAAGTTAAGACATTTTCCCATAACCACATAAGTAGTAAGTGATAAAACTAGGACTTGCATCCAGAACTGCCTGACACCAAAGTCCCAGATTCTTTAATCATTAAAGTATTGTTTTAAATATTAAATAAAGTCATGTATAAAACATTTGACACATAGTTAGCACTCCAATATTAATTACTGTCACCTTGCCAGGAAAACATAAACCTAGCTATGAGGCTGCTCTTTATATAAATTTAATTCTAGCATTAGCGGTGTAAATGTGTACAATAAGTGGTGACTCAGTGGTTAACTAAGCCATTACTGAGGGGAAAAAAGATGGGCTTATCATCTTTTTTGCTAAAATAAAATAGCTTTTAAAAAAGAATCCTTCAGATCCTCTCACCATCCAGCTGTCCCCCCAACCCCCCAAAAAAGAATCCTTATTGTAATGACTACAGCATTTAATTAATCATCTATAGATTATAGAACACTTTTGACCTTAGCCAAGTGCTAGGTGCTATGGTGTTTGTAAAATACAGTCAAGCACTGCATAATGTTTCTGGCACACAATGGACTGCATATACGATGGTGGGCCAATCAGATTATAATGGAGCTGAAAACTTCCTATCCAATAGTGACACTGTAGCCATCATAACATCACAGTGCAATTACTTTATTTTTTAAAATAAATTCAGTGTAGCCTATGTGTACAGTTTTATAAAGTCTACAGTAGTGTACTAGCAATATCTTAAGCCTTCACATTCACTCACCACTCACTGACTCACCCAGACCAACTTTTGGTCCTGCAAGCTCCATTCATAAGTGCCATCGGTGTACCCCACTCACTGACTCACCCAGAGCAACTTTCGGTCCTGCAAGCTCCATTCATGATAAGTGCGGTCGGTGTAATAGTTTTTATCTTTTATACCATATTTTTACCATACCTATTCTATGTTTTGATATGTTTAGATACAAGAATACTTACATTGTGGTACAAATTGCCTACTGTATTCAGTACAGTAACATGCTATGCTGTACAGGTTTGTAGCCTAGAAGCCAGAGGCTACGCCATATAGCCCAGGTGTGTAGTAGGCTGTGCCATCTAGGTTTGTCTAAGTACATTCTATGATATTTGCACAACGATGAAGTCACCTAAAGACACATTTCTCAGAAAGTATCTCAGTTGTAAAGTGACACATGACTGCAATTTCATAGCACATAAATTCAAATCTGATTAGCAATCCAACAAAGTAGTGAAGAAAGGAGCATTATTATAACTCAATAAAGTGATAGGAATACATGGAAACCAGATTTGAATAGCATTAAAGGAACGATGTTCTAGAAAATGAGGCAGGAGATGTGAACATGTGCAACCTACCCCCTTTTTTTTAAATGTGGCAGTGATTAGAAGGAAGAAAATGAACAGCAGCCAGAAGGGACAGTAGTCAAATGAGAAGGTTTTTTGTTTGTTTGTTTGTTTGTTTGTTTGTTTGTTTGTTTACGACAGAGGATACTTAAGCATGTCTCAAGGCAAAAGGACAAAACCAGGTGAAAGTATCTGTTAAAACACTGTAGAGTAGACCTGTATTTAAGATCTGATTCTGTCTCACCAGCTATGTGGCCTTAGGCTATTTAACTTCTGAGAGACTTGGCTTTCTCACTTATGATATGGAGATAATAAAAGCACCTATGTCTACTTAGAATCTGGTACATAGCAA